TCCCAGTTCCACATTTCATGAACAGAACCAACAAGGCAAGCAGTGGAGATGAGACAATATTCTCCACTAAGGACTGGAGGTTGGTTGATGGATACTACAGAAGGAAAGGTATCATAGTGCTACCTTTTAACCCCTTGTGATCATTCATGTACAGTTGTCACCAGAGTGCATCTGTCACCTGCCTAACAAGAGAACTGGTGCTCCTATTAGATTTGTTGCAGTAGTAGGAAATCTGTGGAATAAGATGGAAAAAGACCCATAGCGAATGCAAATGGAAACATGAACTAATGATGAATTGGGTGTCAGGCAACGTTTCAATGCAAACCCTTTCACATTTAAGAAGCCTTGTGGCATTATGTAAGCTCACATTTATTTGTAATATTTAGAGGCTCTTCATAATATGAATCCCAAAGCTGTGTGTCAATCTGATATTCATGGCATGAGATGGGAGGTGTCACTAGTGAAGTTATTGTATTTAGAATTTAAAGCTAGAGGACTCTAGTGCAGACATGAGCAAACTTGTGCCCTCCAGGTGTTTTGGACTTCAACTCCCACAATTCCTAACAGCCTCGGGCCCCTTCCTTTTCTCCCTCAGCCACTTTGACTGCCGTGGCAACATTCAGTGGAATTCTAGGATTTGTAGTTTAGGGAGACCGCAAGTTGCACTCTCTCAGCCTCAGAAGGATGCAAAGGCAAATCTCTTCTGATGAAAACCTCAGGTCTCAGGGTCACCATAGCCAGAAATGACAGCAACTCTTCCCTTTTACAGATTGTACCTGAAATTTTATCAGCTGGCTGGATTTTGGGGAGTAAATGTTGGCCTATAACAGATAGCCAGTGTGGAGTAGCAGGTTCAAATCTCCACTCAGTCATGGAAACTCATTAGAGGCCCATCCACACACCCATATAACCCAGAATAGCAAGACAGAAAATCCCACAATACCTGCTTTGAACTGAGTTATCTGAGGGCCCTTCCTCGCAGCTCTATATCCCAGAATATCAAGGCAGAAAATCCCATAATATCTGCTTTGAGCTGGGTTATCTGAGTCCACACTCAGATGAAAGGGCCCTAAATCCACACTGACATATATTCTAGTTCTAAGCAGAAAATATGGGATTTTATTCAGCTTTGTGGAAGGGGCCTAGGTGACCTTGGGCAAGCCACACTCTCTCAGCTTCAGAGGAAGACAATGGCAGACTTCCTCCCATCAAACCTTGTCATGAAAACCCTTTGATGGGTTTGCCTTAGCACAGCTTCATGTCAGAGATGATTTAAAGGTACACAACAACAGAAGGAAGGCAAATGTTTGAAATTATGGTTTTCCAGATTTCAGCATATTATCTCTGAGACACTGATGACATTCCTAACAACTGACCACACCTTTGTGTCCTTAAACCAGAGCAGGAATTTAGCAGGCAGAAGAGATAGGAAGAAACCAGCAGAAACAAATTCTCTCATGCGCTGCAGTCAAAAAGAGGAGGACCGGGACAAGAAAAAAAGATGTAAGATCCTTCTGAGGGAAAGATTTGAGGGAAAGTCTTCCTGTAATTATCCCACAAGCTTAAAAATCACTCAGTGAAGGAAGTGATGCTGTGCTGTCATATTTCTCTTTTTGAAGAACAACAATAGTGGAGGAGGAAGAGCAGACCTTCCATCAAATGAGTCATTGGAGGCCTTAGGACTGGGGATGTTAAAAAAACTGCATCCATTTAAATACATCAGGGTAAGCATGCAAACAGCTCTCTCTCCTCTGAAAGGAGACTAGAGAAGGCAAAAGCTTTGGATCAGCTTTGTCTTATTTGGCATCTGCCTGAAGGGTTGGACTACAATGAATATCCTACCCATCTGTGGATGCTGAGAGTTGTAATAGGTAAAGGTAAAGGTTTCCCCTTGAGATCAAGTCTAGTTGTATCCGATTCTGGGAGTGGTCCATATCTAAGCTGTAGAAACCTCCTAGGTCATGTGGCCAGCATGACGGCATGGAGCACCATTAACCTTCCTGCTGAAGCAGTACCTAATGATCTACTCACCTTTGCATGTTTTCGAACTGCTAGGTTGACAAAAGCTGGGTCTAATATTGGGAGCTCAACCTGCTCCCTGGATTCGAACTGCTGACTTTTGGCCAGCAAGTTCAGCAGGTTTAACCCACTGCACCACCGGGGACTCCCTAGGAGTTGTAGCTACAACAAATTGCAGGAGCAACAGTTTGGAGAAGGGTACTCTGTGTTTAATTTCCAAAGGGAAAACAAAGAGACTCCAGCTTCCTTGAAATCACTCTAGTGGGAAATGACTCCACAGTGCTTGGAATATAATGATTGATTAGTGGCTTCTTTATTTTTGTGTCTGTTTTCAGAAAGCAGTATGCGATTGTCATTTACTGTCTGCAACAGAAGCCAGACAAGGGGAGGCACACTTGACCAGAGGCAACAAGCCACTGGGAGGACCAGAGGTTGAGTGGGCTTCTGCCTTTGTGTCCTGCTACTGGGTTTTCCAGAAGCATCTGGTTCCACCCACTTCTTCCCAGGAAGCAAGATGCTGGACCAAATGAAATCATCAGCAGGGCTGGGCCCACATTCACTTTAGAGATGTATTGTCCAAGGCTTTCATGGCCGGAATAACTGGGCTGTGTGGTTATGTTCCAGAAGCATTCTCTCCTAATGTTTCGCCTGCAGCTATGGCAGGCATCCTCAGATGGTTGTGAGGATGCCTGCCATAGATTTGGGTGAAACAGGAGATAATGCTTTTGGAGCGTGGTCATACAGCCCGGAAAACACACAGCAACCCAATGTTTCCATTGTTAGCTACAGTGCAGTAAAAAACAACAACAATAATAAAGGAAGACCTGCTTAACAAATCTAAAGGGAACAAATAAACCCTGGGCTTTCTTTAGGATTTGAGCTGCTCTTTGCACATGGAGGAAAGTAAAGAGAACCTGGCAGATGGATCACACCTGCAGGAAGGTGTGGGGAGTCATCCTAACTCTCTCCCTCCCTCCCAGGAGGAAGGAGAAGGGTGTCTGGAGCAAGGAAGGCAAGCTGGGCACATTTCTTGGCTCCTTTCCCTCTCTAGCTGGGGATGGTTTTCCCTCTCCCTCTCTCTGGCCCAGCACTGGATGCAGGAAAGGACAGTTCCATTATCCCTGCTGGCACCACTCAGGCACCTGCGGATGATGAGCCTTGCGGTTGGAGGCTGGGTGGGAGTGGCGAGGCAGGAGAACGGGGCTGGGAGCCTGGGCCTGATCACACCTGCAGGAAGGTGTGGGGCCTCATCCTAACTCATATAACTAATGATATATTTTATATTACATGTAATATTACTCATAATATTACACGATAATGGTATAGTACAATATAATAATATATAATACTAATATTGTGCTATGCTAATAATATATTGTGTTTACATATTACTAGTAAGCCGCTCTGGGCAGCATATAAATATTGTAAATAAATAAATAACTCCCTCCTTCCCTCCCAGAAAGAAGCAGAAGGGCCTCTGGGCCAAGGCAGGTAAGTTGGGCACATCTCTTGGCTCCCTTCCCTCCCTAGCTGGGGACTCTCTCTCTCTCTGGTCCAGCACTGGATGCAGGAAAGGACAGTTCAATTATCTCTGCTGGCACCACCCAGGCACCTGCGGATGATGAGCCTTGCGGTCTTGAGGCTTGGCAGGGGGCTGGGCGGGGGTTGTGAGGCAGGAAAGCGGGGCTGGGAGCCTGGGCCTGATCACACCTGCAGGAAGGTGTGGGGCCTCATCCTAATTCCCTCCCTCCCAGGAGGAAGCAGAAGGGCCTCTGGACCAAGGAAGGCACGCTGGGTGCCTCTCTTGGCTCCCTTCCCTCCCTAGCTGAGGATGGTCTTTCTTTCTCTCTCTGGTCCAGAACTGGGAAGCAGGAAACCACAGTTCCATTATCTCTGCTGGCACCACCCAGGTACCTGCGGATGATGAGCCTTGTGGTCTGGAGGCTGGGCGGAGGCTGGGTGGGGGTTGTGAGGCGGGAGAGTGGGGCTGGAAGCCTGGGCTTGATCACACCTGCAGGAAGGTGTGGGGCCTCATCCTAACTCCCTCCCTCTTTCCCTCCCAGAAAGACCAAGGAAGGCAAGCTGGGCGCATCTCTCTGCTCCCTTCCCTCCCTAACTGGGGATGGTCTCTCTCTGGTTCAGTACTGGGATGCAGGAAAGGGCAGTTTCATCATCTCTGCTGGCACCACCCAGGCACCTGCGGAAGATGAGCCTGGGCCTGCCGTAGGGTGTGTCCTTTCTCCCTTCCACTCCATCCATCCTTTTGCGCCCTGCCGTCTTGGCGCATCGAAGAAGCATTGGGTCCAGGAGGCGCGAGGCCATCTCCTGACGCCTGGCTTGCAGACTGTGCGGGGATGGAGGGCGAGGGTGGGGGGGGGGGGGAGAAAAGGACGAGATGCCCCCTCCCCCATCACACAAACACACCAAATCCAATACAAAAGTGGCCTTGCCACCTTGACCCACCCCGACTGATTAAAAACCCAGCGTCCAGCCTCGACTTGGACCCTCCCCGGCTTCTTTCTCCTCCTGGCAACCCCTTCAGCAGGAGCCTCGCCCTGGCTGCGTTTGCGGGAGGAAGAGGCGCCTCTCCCAAGAAGCCCCCGCGCAGAAGAAGACGAAGGGAGGGAAGGCAAAGCAGCGCCCACGGAGAGAGAGAGCAGAGAAGCTGCCGCAGCCCAGTCACCGGGGACCTTTCGCCTCTCACGAAGGAAAGCAGGGAGGGGGAGACTTGGCTCCATCCTTTCCCCTTCTTGTGAGGCTTGGGCGTTGTTCGGGTGCCTCCCTCCCCGGATCGGAAAGGCAAGCGCCTTTGGGCCAAGCCTTGGCAAGGAAGGAGGCACCTGCCGCAGCCTTTGCACCAGCCCCGGCTTTCCGAGGGTATCTCATTGGGTCGCAGAAGGAGAGAGATGGAAAGACCCTCATTGGAGAGAGATGGAAAGGGGGGGAGGGAGGCAAGAAAGTGGGACGGGAGGGCGACTCACCGCTCTGCTCGCCTAGGAAGACCAGCTTGAATTTCCGGAGAGGGTTGCCGAAGTCTCCTGCCGTCGACATGGCGAGAGGGTTGTTGCGGCGGAGGGCAGCGAGGAAGAGGAGGAGGAGGAGGAGGAGGAGGAGGAGGGGAAAGCTTGGCCCCTCGGACTCCGGGCAGAGGAGGGGCCACTCCGCCCCACCAGGCTCTGCCGCGCTCTTCCGCCTGCACTTTCCCCGGGGAAGGAGCGCCCTGGCGACGGAGGCACGCGCGAGCCCTTGCCCCTTCCCTTCCCTTCCCTTCCCTTCCCGGCCTGCCTGCCTGCCTCCCCGCCCCGTCTCCCGTCCGCGGCGCCTGCGCTCTCGCCCCTCGGCGGCTACCCTGATGTCATGCTGGAGCAGCCGGCAAACCAATGCGGTGTTGCGAGGGGGAGAGGGAGGGGAAGGGGTGGGGCCGGGAGGGACAGCACACAAGCCCCCCGCGCCCACCACCCGGACCACGCGCGTCTGTTATTGCTGAGGAGGTCTTTCCTGCCAAGCAAGGAACACCTTGACTGCCTCCTGAGGCATCTCTACAACCACCAAGTCGCAACAGACCACAGAACAACCCCCGACTAGTTCAAGGAGTGGGGCAAGGCTGTATACTCCCACCCGACCTATTCAACTTGTATGCAGAACACATCATTTGACGTGCGGGGCTTGACCAATCCAAGGCTGGAGTTCAAAATGCTGGAAGAAACATTAATAACTTTACTACTTCATCACACTAGAGAAAAAAATCCACTTAAAATCCGGTTTCTGCTGTTAAAAGCTCATCTCTGAACTACAAACCCCAGAATTCTGCAGGAGGCAGAAACCAGATTTTAAGTGGAATTTTTTCTCTAGTGTGATGAGGCCCTTATATGCCATCAACTCCGCTGGACCGGCCACGTTGCCCAACCACCGTCTCCCAAAGCAGTTGCTCTACTCTGGACTCAAGAATGGAAAACAATGTTGGTGGACAGGAAAAGAGATTCAAAGATGGGCTCAAAGCCAACCTTAAAAACTCTGGCATAGACACTGAGAACTGGGAAGCCCTGGCCCTTGAGCGCTCCAGCTGGAGGTTAGCTGTGACCAACAGTGCTGCAGAATTCGAGGAGGTACAAGTGGAGAGTGAAAGAGAGAAACGTGCCAAGAAGAAGGTGTGTCAAGCCAACACTGACTGAGACCGCCTTTCACCTGGAAACCAATGCCCTCATTGTGGGAGAAAATGCAGGTCAAGAATAGGGCTCCACAGTCACCTATGGATCCACAAGAATACTGATCCTGGAAGACTATCCTACTCGTCCAATGAAGGATCGCCTAAGTAAGTAAGTATATGCAGATGATACCACGTTGATGACTGAAAGTGAGGAGGAGCTGAGGAGCCTTCTAACCAAGGTGAAAGAAGAGAGTGCAAAAGCTGGGTTACAGTTAAACATCAAAGAAACCAAGATTATGGCAACCAGATGGATTGATAACTGACAAAAGAAGGAGAAAATGCGGACACAGTGACAGACTTTGTATTTCTAGATGTGAAGATTACTACAGATGCAGACTGCAACCAGGAAATTATTATTATACTACATTTATACCCCACCCTTTTCACTCCAATGGGGAACTCAGGGCAGCTTACAGACCATGTAATACAATCCCACATTACACATCTATGTATATAATAAAAATCATTGTTTGTATGCGGAGGAAGTGCGGCGGGTGTAGGGCGGAGGTGTTTGTGGCAGCTTTCTGATTGGTTGCCACTGAGGTACAATTTGCACATGGTCTCTGATTGGCCAGCCTGAAAATTCCAAGACTCTGAGGTGACCAAGAGGGGAAAAGGTCTGAGGCTGTGTCAGAAAATTACCAATACAGACCAAACTTGGCACACAGAGCCCCCATGACCCACTCTACATCCTGGTGCTGTTTGGAGGAGGATGGACCATGGATGATGGGACTTGCAATACCATCACTTACTTTTTGAGACCACTGTGAACTTCATCCAATGACTGATCAAGACCAAACTTGGCACATAGACCTCTCATTACCCACTTTACGTCCCAGTGTGGTTTGGCCGGAGATGGACCATGGATTATGGGACTTGCAGTACCTTTCCTCAATTCCTGAGACCACTGCAACCCTCATTTAATTACTGATAAAGACCATTACATTTCTCAACGCGTGGCAGGGGACAGCTAGTAATAAATAATAATTAGATGCATTGTACCAGATCTGGTCTGCTCCAATGCAGTTCTTGCAAGTTCATCGTTTGTTTATATATCCGATTGGTTATTTATTACATCTATACCCTGCTTTTATCCTGAGAAGAATTTTATTTGGTCAAGGTCACGCAGTGGATTTCTATTCTCGAGTGGGAATTCAAATCCTGGCTTCCCAGAGTCCTAGGGTTCATTTATACTGTAGAATTATTGCAGCTTGATACCACGTTCACTGTCATGACTCAATGCTATGGAATATTGAGAGTTGTAATTTTACAAGGTCTTTAGCCTTGGGTTGTTGTAGGTTTTCCGGGCTATATGGCCATGTTCTGGAGGCAATTTTTCTCCTGACATTTCGCCTGCATCTATGGCAAGCATCCTCAGAGGTAATGAGGTCTGTTGGAATTAGGAAAAACTAGTTCCAACAGACCTCATTACCTCTGAGGATGCTTGCCATAGATGCAGGTGAAACGCAGGAGAAAAATTGCCTCCAGAACATGGCCATATAGCCCGGAAAAGCCTACAACAACCCATGGATTCCGGCCATGAAAGCCTTCGACAATACGTCTTTAGCCTTCTCTGCCAAAGATACTGGTGCCTCACCAAACTACAAACCCAGGATTCAAGAGTACTGAGACATGGCAGTTAAAGTGGTGCCAAACTGCAGTGATATATTTGCAGCTAAGCAATATTAGCTCATTCACTAGTAAGATAAAAAGGCAGTACCTACAGCCTCAATTAGTATTGTTTTGGCTTTTAAAAGCATTTTTTGCCTAGTAATTGGAGAGTTAAATGAAGAATTAAGTAAGTTGTTTAGCAATTACAAGGCAATTGAATTATACAGGCTTATCTGATGTTAAACAGAAGAGCACAGCAACATGGATTGCTGAGGTGTTTGTTTTAGGTGCTTATCACAATAGCAGTTGTTTCAGGTCATTTCTGTATGAAAACCCCTTCCATTTGGAAAAAAAGTAGTTGAATAACAATGCACTCTTTCACATCATGACTGCATTAGTACTTCACTAGTGTATAAAAGTCAGTTTGGTGTCATGGTTTGAGAGTTGGACTATGACTCTGGAGACAAGAGTTTGAATAGCTACCTTACCGTGAAACATACTGGGTGACCTTGGGCAAGTCACATTATCTCAACTTCAAAGGAACACAGGTTTGTCTTATGACTTCATCACACACAGTAAAATCAGGGTTTCTACACATTTAAGAAACGGCAACCTATGGTGCCCTTCCCTGATGCAAACTTCAACTGTGGAGGTGAGATATTCTGCTGTTTCTTAAGTGTTGGTTTTTCCAACAATTCCTAAGCTGGTTGGCAATCAACTTATTTTTAAATTTCTTGCACAGACACCGGAAAAATGGCCAGTTTTCCTGTTCAGTGGTAATCCCTGTTGCCTGCTTGTAAATGAAACATTAACATTGTGTGTGGAAGGAGCTGAAATGCCAATTTCCTCAAAGCACCAATGCAGAGAGGTTTGGGGAAAGATTAAGATTAATTTAAAACCACTTCCTATGATTTGGGTTTTTTTTTTTAAAAAGATATATAATCAAAATCCTGGAGGGACAATGGGAGGAAATATCAGTGTGCTGGAATCTTTGAAATGGGAGGAGTCATCACCTGTCCATGTGATGTTAATTAAGCGAATGGTTGAATTAGAAGCTGGAGGAGACGATCTTGGTGTTATGGAAGTGAATAAATTCTTTGTCTTCTTTTGCGAAAGAACTCCATAAAACTCCACCCTTTTCCCAACTTTCCCTCGTTTTCACTTTGTGATGAAGTCCTGGGGTCATAATGAATTGGAAGTGACTTAAAGCACACAACAACAAGTGTTAGTTCCTGTGTTTGCTCTTTTGGGTTGAACTACAACAATAGCAATTAAGTCATGCTGTTTGCTCTACCTTCTGCTCCATGACTGATGTTTTCTTTTCTTTTTTTTTAATGGGAATGTAATGCCACTGTTATGGAACTAACCCCACTTTCTATCCAGAGGCGCACACACTACACATCCTTTAAAAATATACTTTCCTTCATAAATCAACACTTGACTTGTTTTGCTTTGGTATATTACTCTCTAAAACTGTGTATATATATGCACATTATTCTTTAAACTTCCAACACTATGGCTTCTCTGGGAAATAATTTTTGCTAGCATTACATCTGAATTGCATTATTGCACTATGTCTCTCATTTTATGTATGTGTGCGCCATTGAACACAGAAAGAATGTATAGTCAGTTATCTGTATCCATGGATTCAGTATCCACAGATGATGATGGTATTTGTTTATATGCTTCTTTTCCTCTTAATGAAGACTCAAAGTGGCAAACAACAATACAATAAGCCATACAATACAAAATTCAACCAGGCCCCCAAATGTTGAGTTCCAACCCCATCAGCCTAAACTAACATAGTCAACAACCAAGAATAATGGGAGCTGTAGTAAAACAATATATGGAGGGCCAATGATTATGTCCTTCAGGCCTAAATTGGATTTTGCAATGTGCCTTAAGGAATTAAAGCAGCAACAAAGTAGCCAAGTATACCTGGAAATGGATAGCAGTTGGAAGTAAACATGTGGCTGATGCTCGGTTTCCATGCAATTTTATTTCTCTTGTTTTGCAGCCAAAAACTGAGGATCACAGAAGAGAAGAAGGGGAAAAAACTGGCAAAAATGTAAAGACTAGTGAATGCAAACATTTTTTTTGAAACCATGCACACACAGAGAGACATGTAGTTAAATGCAAACGGGGTTGACCGAGTTGGTATGATTAATAAATATATGCCTAGAAAAAGCTTTTGTGGCACTGCGTAAGCAAAATTCTGCCTTTGGGATGTGAACAGCAATGGCATCTACTGAAGCTTGGAAAAGGGAAATCCAATAAAAGAGTCACAGATATGCAGGGCTGAATAAAACTCAAAGGCCATTTAATCTCAGGCAGGCACATTTTGTTTTGAAGGATACAGAAAATATCATTCTGCCTTAGATCTGAACTGTGGCTTGAGCTTCAGCATGCAGCAGCTTAGTCTAATCAGTATGGGCCTAAGCAGACGATGTTTGTGCATGTGTTTATATTTATA